TGCTCTTTCATAAAGCTTGTTTGAAAATAATAAATTAAGTTAAATCAAGTGAGACTTACATAACTGAAAGGTGAGATCTCAGTGCGACCTCCTATTGCTCTGCACTTGGACTAACTGATGCGCAAGTGCAAGAGGGAGGAGGAGCTGATTTTTTTTTTAAGTTTCTTGTTATACAAGCTCCGGTAACGGAAAAGCCCCGTTCTTATGAAACTGTAAAACGTGTTATTTAACATGTTGAAAATAAATATGTAAAGAATTTTGACAGACTTTACATCAGTGCAAAAATATTTGTTGACATTTTCCTCAGTAATGCATTCATTAATATTAAAGAAAAATATATTCGATATAATAAAAAGGAAACATCTAGTAAAAAAAAAAAACGTTTTTACCATTTTCTAAAAAAAATAAAAAATAAAAAATAAAAAATAAAAAATCAAGTGTAACCATCAAATAAAACGGATTTATTGCTGCTTGAATGCATGTGTACATAGGCCTATCTTAATAATTATTTTTCAACATATTTTAAATAAATAAAAAGAAACCAAACTGACAGTTTGTTACTTTTTTACTTTTCTTTTTTTTTTCAATTTTATTAAAAAAATGTTAATTTTTTCGAATACATTTTCTTTTTATAATACAAAATATTTTTTATAATTTTATAAACAGATACAGTAGCCTATAAAAAAGTTTTACATCATTACGTTTTCTTCAAAACATTATTAACAAAAGATAGAAGAAGTGGGTTTTGGATCAGCATTTCTCATTTCTTTTCTGTTGTGCTGTGACGAATCTAACTTTTAGATTAACCTTTAAGAGGCAAAAGGTTTGTCTGAGAGCTGCCGCTCCACTGTTGCCCTGACGCTGAGAAAGACCCGTTTGTACAATGCAATTTAATAAACACACATGCGCAAATGCGTAAATTACGGTGTCAATTAAACTCGTACTCATTTTTTATGTTAAATTGACTTCTCCAGTTCTTCTGCTTGCCGACGTTCCAGTAACTGAATTGGGGAAACAATAAAATTGGGCTAAGTTGTGCTCTTTCATAAAGCTTGCTTGTAAATTAAAAAAATAGCCTAATAGATTAAATTAAATCAAGTGAGACTTACATAACGGAAAGGTGAGATCTCAGTGCGACCTCCTATTGCTCTGCACTTGGACTAACTGATGCGCAAGCGACAGGGAGGAGGAGCTGATTTTTTAAACAGAGCTTAAAGGACTTTTTCCATCCGCTATATTATCCGCGATGTGAAATTCATAAGACTGATCACTTGTAAAAAAAAAAAAAAAAACACACCTCTTGGCAAAATGTCGCCATATCAATGTTCTAGAGAGAGGCCTGCAAAGTATAAGCAAAACAGATTTACACTACATTGTCTGTTCAAGAAGTTGTTGCTCATAAAACGAAATCCGTTTTTTATTTTCCTCCTATAACTTTCACTAAATCCTTTATTACTTTCTAGCCCTTTTTTGAAAGCAAAGTCATGTGTGGGGCCTTCACAGCTTTACGAGGTGCTACACTAAACATCACATGTGCTTACTTTCAATAGGAGCTTTTGCTGGAAACTGTTCTACGTTCGTCACATGATGCACTGTTTATAACATTCAATCATAAACTCACCTGGGCCACCCAGACCTTAATGTAGATCCCTCCTTCCTCTTTCCCTTAACTGTTACGCACTCTAATCTGACCCAACTACTGCCTTTTTATACTTTCCCATGAGCGATGCATCCTATGGCTTGCAAAGGAAGCATAATTGCTAGTTAGAAAAACTTAATCAATGGTCTCCAAATTCTGTGTCTAGCCTCTTAAAGCACTCATGCCCAGTGACAACCCGCAAGGACCAACAATGCACAACTAGAAAGAGAGGTTTCCAAAGTCTTTTTTCCTCTCTTTTCAGCGGACCAACAGAAAATATCCTTTAAATTTAAGGCTTCACTGAACGTGTGTCATAAATTACATAGATGATATTTCATTGTGGCATTCACTCTGAACCCATAGACTATATATTATCTTAGTCAATGTAAAATGAATCTCTTTTAGATGAGCTATTCCATATTCATCATCCACGAGTGCAATGAACTTCCATCATGCAAACTCTTTTGGGGACACTAGAGGGCACATTTTAACTTAACAAGGTATTCTTCTCTTCTTTACAGACATAGGCTCCTAAAGATTTGCTAATTGCAGCAGCAGATATTTTGTATCATGAATTAGTTTAGAAAAGAAAGAAATAGCCCATCCAAAATGAAAATTTGCTGAAAATGTTCTCACCCTCAGGCCATTTAAGATGTAGATTTATTTGTTTCTTCAGGACAGATTTTGGAGAAATGAAGCATTACATCACTTGCTCACCAATGGATCCTCTGCAGTGAATGGGTGCCGTCAGAATGAGAGTCCAAACAGCTGATAAAAACATTACAATAATAAACAAGTAATGTGAGTAATCCACAAGATGCATGTTTGTAATGAACAAATCCATAATTAAGACATTGTTAACTTCAAACCATTGCTTCTTGCTAAATTATGAGTCCTTCTCCATAATACTGCTTCCTCCAGTGAAAAAAAAAACTGTCTAGTCTAAATCAGGAGAGAAAGATGCACAGTCCAAACAGTTCTAAACAAATATGTTGGTGGATTTTGATGAGAAAGTACAACAGGGCATGAACTTCTTTACTGGAGGAAGCGTTATTATGGATTATGGACTTATTTTGGCCGGCTGTGATGGTTTAAAGTACAAAAAAAGGGGGGGGGGAATCAAATTAATGATGGATTCATGTTGTTTCTTATAAACATGCATCTTTTCACTTCACAAGACGTTAATTAATGGACTGGAGTGGTGTGGATTATTGTGATATTCGCAGGCTCCGAATATCTGCTCATATTCCAAACGCCAGGTTCAAACGTTTTGATAAAGTATTGCATTCCACTGTAGCTGTCTGACATGCCAATTGCAGTCGGTCTGTGTGGAAGAAAAATAGCAAACACTTTGTGCTCGTCGTCCTGAGAGCCACATGAACAGAACCAGCTGTACTGGGTCACTGTTGTTTTTCGTACATCACCCAGAACGTTCAGCACCCGGGCTTCCCTCTTCTCTGGCAGCGGTCGCTCCTGCATTCCTCAGACTGTAGAACCGCATATGAAAGTAATTAACCTAGTTCCTCTGTCCACGCTTCTTGCTTTCTCTTCGGTTGATAGGTAATGCAGTAAAAGTCGTCTGCTGAAAACACAGACGGCCTAAAAGTGGTAGTCAAAAGGAAATGAGGCAAAGCTGCGATGAATAATCAGTTTAGGCACAGAATTGGAAGGCGTCGGTGCGGTCAGTTTCGCAGACAAAAATATCCAGTTGCCCATTATCAATATTAAAGTGACGCATAAAGAACTGCTCACACATAAGTCACTTTCTGTTGGTCAACTCGGCGAAATCTTGAACAGGAACGAAATCTGCATGGTGAACGTGAACCCAGTAGTGCAGATTCCGTTTGAAATTGACTGGATTTTGCCGGCAAGCAACGAATGTGACTTACACAAGCAACATAAAAACATTAGCTAATCGCTTTCCTGAACTTCAGAGGAAAAGGGGAGACCTTTTTGTAGTAATACGACAATGTTGTTTTTTTTTTGTTCCCAGAATGTTCTAGGAATGTTATTTTATAGTTACCGAACCCAATACTAACGTTTGTAGAATGTTCTGTATTTGGAAAGTAGCACTTAAATGGACTGCATGAACTCACTAACTTACGAAAAAAAATCCCAATAGGGTGTTATCACGACATGTCATCAATCCGGAAGTCGGCCATATTGGTGGCACTGAACATAAACAATGCCACTGAACCAAACGGAACTCGTGTCGAACTTGCGAAAAAATTTAGTTCACTATAGCTGCGTTTCCATTACATATTTGTGCAAAAATTGTGCGATATTTTATAAATGTCGATAAAAAACTATCGGGAAATGACGGCGTTTCCATGAACCAATGTTATGCGACTAAAACGTAATTTTTTCCTCTCTCGATAAGTCATGGTGATGGATGTTGGTAGGTTTACTATATCGCAACCATCACACTAGTCATTATTTTTAATCGAAGGAGACATTGATGTGTATCTTTAGCGAAGCAGTGTGGAGAGCCACTTTCAGTGAGTGACGTGACATGTGGCCAAGTATGGTGACCCATACTCGGAATTAGTGCTCTGCATTTATCCCATCCAAAGTGCACACACACAGCAGTGAACACACACACACCGTGAAGACACACCCGGAGCAGTGGACAGCCATTTTTTTGCTGCGGCGCCTGGGGAGCAGTTGGGGGTTCAGTGCCTTGCTCAAGGGCACCTCAGTTGTGGTATTCACTCCCCCCACCCGCAACCTTTGGGTCACGAGTCCGACTCTCTAACCATTAGGCCACGACTGCCCTGTCGTGCCCTGCTTAAGGATGCTTCTGAAACGTACCACGGCCCAGCTGCTACAAACACAAGCATTGACTAAAGTGCTAAATCAACTAAAAAAACTAAATCAGCTCCAGTGGCCGTGTTGGAGCTGTAATGCTCCGCAGACGTGTGCAGTGTAAATAAGGAGTTATCCAAGAATTAATGGCAAGGAAACCCCTTATACTTGAAAGCAGCCAAGTATGAGGTGTTTATTGGAGGTTATAGTACATTAAAGAATGATCATGTGACTTTTACATATGCCAGGTGACCTGTTAATGCAACAAAACTTTTTCCATTGCAGTTTTGCAAAATATTCCTTTTTCGAATTGCCTGAAAAACCACCTCATGCAAGCGTAATTTTGTTTTTCCGATATATGGGAGTTTTTGCAAAATTAATTATTTCCATTGGGTATATTTTCAATTTTCAATTTCAATTTGCGCAGCTTATGTCGGGATAAGAAACAGAAGGAAGAATTGTCGGGTCATCAGTCCACGACAAAGGAGCCAGCTCGTACGGATCTTTACCACCTATTAACT